GTCAGTCAGATTTCCATCACTGCAACAAATACCTAATGTAATCAACTCAGCAGGAAGGGTTTGTTCGGCCTGCATTTTGGCCCACGGTCAGGTGGCCTCATTTCTTTCTGGTCTGGTACACGGCAGCACATCAAGGTGAGATGGGGAGAGCCGCTCATTCACCTCTTGCCAGGGAACTAAAGGAGACCGAAACTCATGGTTCCTTTCCAGGCACACCCCAGAGAGCACCTGAAACCGCTCCATGGGTCCCCTAAGGTACAATTGTGCCCAGCTGTGAACGACAGCTTTACTGCGTGGGCTTTGGGGACGTGGCCGATGCAAACTGCAGCACCTCGCAGCAAGGGTGGCCTCTGCTGGAGTAATCCCGTGGCTGTCGCAGGACAGAGTGGTCACTATGTCTGGACCCCTCACAAGCACAGGACTTTGTTAACCAGCTTTCAGTTCTGAAGAAGCATATGTATTTGTCTGTGTTTTACTTGACAAATGTTGATCACATCAACAAGGAGATTTGTTGGGAAAACTTGGAAAGTTGCTGGGAAAACAGCAAGAGAAGGTTGTGTGCAGAGGACAAGCTATCTCGGGGCAGTAGAAAGACAGGGACCTCCACTTTGGCACGCGTTGTCACATCGCACTGCAGTGGCCCGTACTGAAGACGGCGGGAGAAGACAGAAAAGACAGAGGCCGTGGGAAGTGATGATGTGTCCAGCACAGGTGTGGTTGTCACTTCCAAGGACAGGTTACGACCCCAGGTCCTGGACCTATGCAGTCTGGAGCTGCTGGTGTGCCATGGGCTCTGTGGCTTTGTAACGGAAGATGCCCCCCAGCCACGACACTCCTGTTTCTTAGTTGCCCACGTAACTTCCTGTTCCGCTTCTGGTTGATTCCCTATAAAAGGCTGGTCACTATGATGCATATTGTAAGAATGACAGCCAAGAACTCTGCTTCTTGCTTACAATACCGTAAAATCCTCCCTCCTGAGCCTTTGAGGCCTGACATTTTGAAGGACAATTTTTTTTTTTTTTTTTTTTTTGGTTTTTCTCCGGTACCGGGAACCGAACTCACGACCTTGCGCTTGCCAGGCAGGCGCTTTTGCCGCTGAGCTAAATCCCCAGCCCCTTGAAGGATAATTGATCCCTTGTCAGTGCCTGTCCAACGTTAAATAAAGCTGCCTCCAAACCCTGGGTGTCGTTTTGGCGTTTCCGTTTGCCATTGCAGCTTGTGCTACCTCAGGAGCATGCAGGCCCGGCCCTAAGCTCGGGAGAGTCAGCCTCTCCTTCCCCGAACTGCCTCACAACGCCCTGAAACTTCTCAGACCTGTTCAATCTTCTCCGAAGCCTGTTGGCTCTGCTTCCCAGCCATGTCTGAAATTCAGCCGCTGCCTTCCTCACCGCTACAGACTTCATCTCATTCACCGTCAGTCCTTGGCCCAACTGGAAATGAAGCCCTCCAAAAGCCCAGGCCTCACAGAGCTGTGCGAAACAACTTGTGGGGCATGTCAGATCCCTGCATGCTCTGGACTAAAGCCCTCCGTCCCACCTGCAGTGAAATACTAACTCCTGAGCCCTGCTTTGGCATCTGGACAGGACAGAAGTTCCTAACTTCTCTGGTCTTGTTTCCTCATCCGTAAGCCTTGCTAAGCAGCCCGTGGGCTCATCCTCCCTAAAGCCTCCACTCACACGCACCTTCGTGGGAAGTGCTTCCGAGGGGCAGGCTGCCTCTGAGCTCCTCTGGTCAGGCCCAAGTCGTATTTCATTAGAGGAGCCTCTCTGGATTTTACGGCTACACAAAACTATTTTCCACACCCTGGTCATGCCATGGTTAAGCTATTTTATGTCCTTCCTAGGACTTATAAGAAGTCAGAATTATTTTATTTATAAATTGTTCATGGGGCTTTTGTCTCCTTTGACCCAAGGATAAATTCCTTGTGGGCAGGGACTGGTTTCTATGACCTTCTCCCTAAGGGTCACAGCAGAGGAGGGGTGGGAGCTGTCTCACTGCTGGATGCGGAGCAGTCAGCTCCTGGAAGTATTTGCCGGGAGATCGTATTCACAAGCTTTAAAGGTGGAATTCGGATTTCTAGATGGCAAAATTCCACAAAAGTGGACACATGGTGACTGCACAGTCCGTTCACCAGCGTGACCTGCTGCAGTCCGGCTTCAGCGTCCACATCTGTGTAATCTGAATTTCAGTTCCAGTCAAAAGGAGATGCCTCTGTTTAGGAACGGTCCTGCAGAGTCACTCTGACTTGAGCTTATCCTTTTTTCCCCTTCCCAGTTACTAAGTCTAACTGTAACTCACTTTTTCTTTCTCTTCTGTTCTCCCCTTCCATTCTTTCTTTTCTCTTTTTCTTTGTTAGTCTTTCTTTCCTTCCTCCCTCCCTCCCTTCCACAAGAAAGAGGAACACCAAGACAGCAAGCATTTCTTTGAACAGGGCTCAATCTATTAGTTGTGTATATCATAATACATGTGATCTTATTTTGTTTTCCAACCTACTGCAAGGATACATACATACACACCCTACTTATTTTCCATTTTTAAAATTTTAATTTTTGTTGGAACTGAGAAAAAAGATGTATTTAACATTTTAGACTAATAGCATAATACTTGTAATTTATAATAACATTTTAATATGTACTTTTAGAATTTTATCAAATAGGGCCCTTATTTATATAAATACGTGTTCATTACAAGCTATCTTATGTTCTATTTTAGTGTTATTCTGTCATCCAAGGAATATCTACCCAGAGCCCAGCAATAAATGTCAAGATGTACAAAATTTAGTTCCTGCTCTCAAGAAGTGCTGATTTAAATTGAGAAACCGACACACTTACGAAGCGGAAGCCTTAACCAGCAGTTATTACAGATGAAGCAACAGCGCAGAGAGGGGCATAATTTACTCTGCGGGTGCAGGGTGGGGGTCACAGCAGACTTCTCAGAGGGGGTCTGTGATCGCCAGCGGCTCACAGTGTTGAAGTGATGTGGCTATGCGCGCACAAATGAACTGAATAGGAATCATCACATCCGTTTCAAACCAAAAGATGCTACTGTGCTCAGTTACTGCAGTTCTCCCAAGAGTCATATATGATCTGGTTTTAAAGCTTAAAAAGAATGCTAAAGCTAATCTCAAAAATTCAGTGAGCAAGAATAGCTAAGAAAAATAAGTAGGAGGAAGGGTTATTAGGAGCCTTGGTGGAACTGTTTCTCTCATACTTAGCTTTCAATGTGACCCTTAGCCCATCAGCCTATGACATCCTCCTAGCGACTCCCTGGACCAGGGTGGGTCCCTGAGATGAGCAAGTTGGTGCAGCTAGAGCAAAGAAAGACCCTGTACAATTAAGGGCAAGTTTTCTGTGCATCTCCCATTATGAACAAGAATTATTATTATTATTATTATTAGGGTTTTTTTTAAAACCAAGAAAATCCATACAAAATTTACCTGAACTATTTTTAAGTATACTGATCAGTGATCTTAAGTACATTTATTTACAAAGCTGTGCCGTAAAATCCAAAACTCTTTTCATGTTGCAAAAAGCGAAATTCTGTATTCACACACAATTGCCTTGCAATTCTCAAAAGTATAAAAAGGCCTTTAGTTTTATTTGTGAATTTTGTAATCTTTCGCATTTCTATGACCTTACAAAAAATGACCCACGGCGGCTTTTTTCTTCTCTGCAGTGCTGGGGATGGAACCCAGGGCTCTCCCGCTGAAGGCACCCTCACCTACGCTGCCTTTTCCCTAGCGCAGGCACTGCCGCGAGGACTCCACATGCTCTCTATCTCCTGAATGATTATCTCAAACCTTTGGTACACAGCCTCATGAGTCTCCTGACTTTCTAAGATAAAAGATGCTTGAATACATTTTTACATATTGTAAATTTTTATTTAATTTTATAGATTCATGAATTCTATTAAGGATGGGTATAAGGATTATGACACTATTATTGTATTATTACTTACTACAAAGGAAGCAAATGATCCAATAATAACTTAAATAGCTTCAGCATGACAACTACAGCCAGGAGTGATAGATGATGCACATCTGCAAGATCAGCACTCTTGCAGGCTGAGGCAGAAGGAGTGCAAGTTCCTGACCTTTCTGGGCAACTCAATGATTTAGTGAGATCTTTTCTCTCTCTCAAAAACAGCTAATATGCTCATATACTGTTGAGTGGAAAAGCCTGGTTACTAAATATGCAGTGTGATCTCATTTATTATTTCAAAGAATACAGCTTCTTTAGGTTTCCCCCCAAAGCCTCATGCACTCAAAAGTGGAACTTTTTGGAGGTGGCTGGATCCAGTGTGTGTGTCAAAATACACCTAAAGGTGTGTGGCTTATAGCCCTGGCTGTGGATGGCATCAACCAACATGCTTGCAGCCTGAATGGAATAAAACAGAAAGGGAGGTTGCTGCTTCCCGCCTCCTGCCTGCCCTGCCATGGACTGTTTCCCCTCTGCCGGGTCACCCTACCTTGGAGCTAGCTGACTATGGACCGAATATTCTACAAACTATGAACTAAATAAACCTTTCCTCCTTTAACTTTGGGTGTCAGGTATTTCTGTCCCAGTAACAAGGAAGTAACTAAAATAGGTATATCCACATAACACAGGAAAGAAAAAAGGAGTGAGACAAAGGCAAAGGGAGAAATGGAAATCTTTCGTCACTCATCTTAATTTCAGCTACAAAGAAAAACACAGTAGAGAAGAAAACCAGAAATAGTAAAAACCAGGTAAACTAATCTTTGGAGTATGGGAGCATGAGTGACTTTTTTATTTGCATTTTCAAGTTATTTATAATTATATTTATAATTTGTGTAGTCAAAAATTAGGTTTATACCCCAATTGCAGATAAAAAAGTTTTCTACCCTTTCATTTTTAATTAAAGGTGTAACACTACATTATGATTTATTCTTCTCTTTAGTGCATAAAGAAAACCCACACATTTCTTAACACTATGAAATGAAATTTTGGCACACAACCCACAGACAACATCACTCAGTAAAATACATCTTGAATAGGTGACTTTAATAAGTTACTACATGAAAATGTGTTACCTAAAAGTAGACATTAAACACATCTTCCCCATTACTTTCTAAAACATTATAAATTCAATGCCAATAATCTTTTCTACCTAAATTAACATTATACATGTAGCACATAAATCCCAAAAGAACATGATCACATGACATTTTAAAGTAAAACAACTCAGAGAATCCTTCAGCTTAGCATTTACATATTTTATTATTCTATGAACCAGCATAATTGGAACATTGATAATGTATTTGTTTTGTGTAGAATGGACGGATGTGGGTTTAAATACCTTTTAATACAGCACTATTAAAATCTGAACCAAGATAAAATTAGGGAAATCTGAGTTTTCTGTGCTGAGTTTTTTTGGGAATGATTTTGGCTAATGTGAGCTTTGTTTCATTTTGCCAATGTCCTTTTCTCTACTGTCTCCCAGTCCATGACTCAGGATTTAAGAAACTTCCTCATTTTCTACACTTTAAAAAGCAGCGTCAGTATCCACACAGCTTTGGTCTGGTGGACAGTAACGGAAGGCACAATGGAGGGAAAAGAAAGTAGACGCAAGAACACCACCCCACTAAATTAACAATAACCACAGTGAACAAAAGCTACCGTGGAAGTTTTCCAGATTCTTATTATTTTAGGTATCAGCTTTATCTAACTGGAAAACTGGGCAGAGTACACCTGGGAATCCTGAATTTTGACCCTAGACCTATGAGCAGTCAGAGTTATTGAAAATCAGTTCACTAAATTTAGCAAGAGAGTTTGGACCAAGTTTATTGAATCATGAAAATCCCATTCAGATGTGTGGTGGAGCATACTAAGGAATGTGTAACTCTGGATACATAACTGCTGTCATATACTGCTGTGATGACAGGAATATCAGTTTTGATAAAATTAAACCAAAAGTGAACTAACATTTTCAAAGTGTGATGCAAACACAAACCTCTAGAATACTGTTATTTCACGAACAGTTGTTATTTTCTTTAAAAATCCTTAAGTTATTCTTTCTGATCTAAAGTGCTATATTAGTTCTTTTCATTTATGCAACATTACCGTTTGTCTTGGTTATAACTTTAATTTCATGTACAGGTTTCTATGTGTAGACAAAGTATCTTTAGCTTTGGACACTCAAGTCAATTTAAGATACTTAGCAATTCAGCCTGGCAGGCTTTATGTTTGGTGCTAAGGGGGCACATGAATAAATAAGAGAGGTCCTCAATTACATTTCCTATTAATATTTAAATTTACCCACAAATATGCTTCAAGGGAAATTTTCAGTAACTTTAAAAATATATGTAAAATTCATATTTTCTTTCAAATCTCATCATTCAGGTAGGTGCTCAATGTAATTTACAAGACTAGATGAGAACAGGATTGCACTGTTCTTAATATGAGTGCAGCATCGCCTCATACTATAAGTTAATGAATACTCGAACGGATATCTACACCAGTATTTTACACCATTAAAGGAAATACGGGAAAACCACAGCCCTTAAACAGCTAAATACATTCACAAGATATTACCAGGCTTGGCTCTCCCCTTTGGGGCTCAGATTTGGGACTGCAGGAGGTAAACAACAGTACAGTACTGGGTTTGCACCCACCCCCCAACACCTGCTATGGGAGGGATGGCCTCACGCGACCAGGTAAGTCCAGCACAAGTTGACGCAAGCTGCTGTTACGATGGACAAAATCCCCACTCCCACTGAGGGAAATTACCTGCTGTCTTTGCAAGCATCTTAATGTCTGTTTCACCCTCCGTCACAAGCAACACTCGGGTTAGTGCTTCATTTCCTTTTGAGGGGACTCACTACAAGGCAGTGCTGCTCTCTTTTGACTGGTGCAGCACAGACACCAGTATCAACCTCACCTGCGTTTATCATCCCAGTCACCGGGTGGGGAAATGTGGGGCTCCAGCAGTACATGACGACGATGAATATTAAGTCCTTATAATGTTGTGTCAAGTACTTCTCCTCTTAATTAACCTCATCCAATCCTCACAATTTAATAAGTAATAATAGTAAGCCACTCAATACGCTAACGTAGAAGAAAACGATCAGGAAGTTTAAGTAAATAACATGAAATCCATGACACACACATCTATGGCTTCTGCTTCCCCAAAGTACTGCATCTTTTCCTGGTTTTCCTTTTACTTCTCTGGAACTGCAAATGTATTTTTAGCTCTGAATATCTAATTCAATGTAAGAAACACTCCACAAGCTCTCCTGGTACCCATGTGTTCGGTACTATGGGGGACACACCGCTGAGTGAGAAAGCTCCTGAATCTCATGCTGATAGTGCCTACTGCTGGAACCACTGCAACTGTACGAGGTATTCTCCTAGTTCCGGCAGCACAAAAAGGCTTCTAGTTTTATCTACAAACTCCCTCTTATTTCCACGGTATAAGCTTACAAAGCAATCCATGGCATCTTACCTCGCAACACCCTGCAGCAAAAGGCTCACAGTGTGTGAAACCTCCTCAAATTGTTTGAAGTCTTGAAGCCCACACTCCGTCAACTACTGAGTTTTCTGTCATCATAACACTAGATGCAAGATGTCCAACTCCTTAAATCTTATGAACTCTCAAAATTTCAGCTCGCAGATTTAGTGAGATCCACCGCCTCTAATGACAGCAGCCGTGTCTTCCGGGACAGAGACCTCTGGACAGCAGTACAGGATTCTGGACTCTGAGAGTTAAAATGTGATTGCCAAGTTGACGGCTGCTGAGGTCCTGACAGCAGACAGACTCTCTGCAGCCCCAGGGAGCAGGAAGCAAGCGTGGGGGCTCTAGGAAGAAGACACTCACGCACAGTCACAAGATCCGGGTTCAGACCTAATCACGCATCACTTGTATGGCAAGCTGTTTGGTTTTTCTGAGACTTAGTGTTTCTACCTGCAAAATGTGGCTAGGAACACCTGCCCTGAACAGATAATTCCTAAGACTCGGCAGAGATGAGTCACCGTTTCTTTTCATCCACCGTCTCCACACTGCAGTACTGACTGAAACGGCACTTCGAGTCTGAGAGCAGACAAATGTTCGTCTTAGAAGAGACGACCCGGTCAAGTATGAGTCCAGTTAATATGAGCATGGGGACACAGCAAGTAGTAAGTAAAGGTTCCTCAGGTATTTTCTACAAATTCACTTTCCTGGTCAGCTAACTTCTAAATATAAGCTATAAAAATCTGGGTCAGGTAAGAAGAACAGTGCTTTCGTCGCCTTATGGCTTTAGTGCAGAAAATGTTGCTAACAACGACTTGTGCTCCTGTGCGCTATGCGGAACTAAGGTGCAGTGTATCACTATCAGGAAACACATCTTCTGGTATCACTGCAGTAGTAAACAAAGCGAGATGAATTTAGAGAGAAAAATTTCAGAGGTGAGGTAATTATAAAGTGACTACGATTGTCATTTAAGCCTGAACAGATAAAGTGCACTCATTAACACGTAAGGCGCAATTCTTAAAATGCCTTGCAGATCGCAGTTCTAGTGAACTACTGTTTCCACGGTCCACTTAACTTGCACAGTGCAGATGCAATTTGTGAACTAGATCAGGTTAGCGGAGTATTCGCGGAACCTCCTGCCCAGGGACCATTCATTTAAACCCTGAATCCAGATGCACAACCACCCACAAACTGAATTGTCTCTGATTGCCATACCCAGATGAGGCCCCTTTTTAAACTGGGATTAAACACACTTAAACAACATGCAGAGTTTAGGGAAAGTGATGGTGGATCACCTCACTTCGAATGTTACCAGGGCTTGAGAGACCTTTATTCATCTTAAGGCGGGGCAACCTGACGGTCAGCTTTCCACTGGAGGCGCTTTATCTACAGCGGGAAAAATACCTTCACCAACCGAACTCCAAAGTATCTTGTCCACTGTCAGCAGAAGTGCCTAGTGCTTAGTTAAAACAGATTCTTGCGACTATAAAGGATTGGATAAATGGCTTTTAAACCGCTGGCTAAAATTGGGAAATGATGAACAATATTATCTAAAATTATCAAAACACTTTTGAGAACATAGTTCTGCTCGGAGGGCTCCATGGAGGAAGGGCCTCATTGTCGAGGAAGGAATGCTGTTTCTTTTGTTTTCGTTCGGTTCTTTCCTGCTTTTCTTTCTTTTCCTAAAGAAAAAAAATAGAAAACTATGAATTTATATACACCATGTGAACATTATTTTCAAATCAGGTTACTTGCTGAGGAACAAAGTAGTCCATCATAAGGTATTTATATATCATTTCCTAGTTTAGTTATTTATTTACAAAGAAATAGCAAAGGAATGGTGCTAATTTCTAAGTATATTATCAACTGGTACTGTTACTCACTTTTTAAATAGGACAAAAAGCCCTACAATTCTATAACAGAAAGATAATTATTGGAAAATGACTTTCTGAGAATAGTTTCTCAGAAGTATATTACTAAGTGAACTTCTGAATATTCCATACCAACAGGATACTCCAAATATTTTTAATAATTTATTTTAAAGATAATTTTAAAAACCCAATAAAAATGATACAGAATTTCAAAACAAGATGATACAAGATTAACAATGGTTATCATATTGCAGACTGTCATCTTCAAAGTAGTTGCTCAGATTACTAGATATAGGCATGTAAGATTGATCAAACAATATAAGCATTAACTGTTCCTTTCAATGAACTAACAGAAATCAGTAGTACAATTACTTTAGCTATCTTTTCTTTTCTCCTTTCCGCTATCCCAGTTGATCTTTCCTTTTGAGCAGTTTCTTTCCCTTTCACAATGTCTACTGTACCTTTTGGATCTTATTTACTCTTTCAGTTTCTTACAGTAGGGAGACAATATGATGTTTACACATGTGGGTCTGATTTATTTCACTTATGAGTATGGTCTCTAGTTGCATCCATTTACCTATAAAAGCCTCGAGTTTGTCTTTCTTTATAGCTGAGTAATACTTCTGAGTATCTGCCCAGAAGAACTAAAACCACTGTACCACAGTGATCTATGTACACTCATGTTTATAGCAGCACAATTTGTAATACTTAAATCTTGGAAACAACCCAAATGCCCACCAACCGAGGAATGGATAAAAAAGATGTGGTATTTTCATACTCCAAATATTCTACAAACAGTTGAAAATTCATCTCAGTACTTCTTTACTTGTTATTGAACTTCAGAAAATTTTCAAACATTTCTTTACTCCTTTTGCACATTTTCTGTTGAATTATTTGGCCCATTTAACTGAGTATCAGTGTTTTTAATTTTTAGCAATTTTTGAATTTTCAAATAAAATATTATCCTCACTTCAAACATTTTGATCTTTTCAGTTCTTAGCTTCTGTAAAAAATGTACTGAGAAATGATTCAACCCCAGGAGACTGTTCAAAGACCAACAAAATGAAAACACAAGCACCCACTATTTGCCGTACAAGAAAACCAGGTAACCAGGCCGTGCTTCTGGATCCACGTCCGCTCCTCCCCCACTTCCACACTCGTCCCTTCTCTCTGAGTGTGACCTTCAGTAACGCTGAGGGGCGTCCCCTACGACTTTTATTGCACACACATTCATACTCAACAAGAGCAGTCTTATTATGAGCATTTTCAGAATTTCTACCAGAAGATACTGTGTTGTATGTCGGGAAACGTCCTGTCTTGTTTCTTCACATCTACGAGACCAGTCTACACGCAGCTGCACTCTCCTTTCAGGAGCCGGAGTCTAGTACATGCAAATCCGCGTTTATTCTGCTATGTTTTGCGGAAGGCATGTATGCAGCTACTACTTCTTTCCATTGTAATGCTGCTATGTACATCTTGTCTGCTCCTTGGGCATGAGTCTTTGTTATCCTCTACGTATATGCACAAGAGCAAAACTGTTGCTTTGTGAAACTTGTTGTACGTAGACTCGACTTCCCTGGGTGATGTCAGGGTGGCTTCTGCAGCAGCTATAGGAGCTCGCCTCTGGCAAGAGGCTACTCTGACTTTTTATTCTGATGTGCAGCAAGTCTAAACTTGGTAAGTGTTCTTAAGTGTTCTGTTCATTTCTGAGTGATTTCTTCTACATTTAGAAAAGCACGTTTGCAGGGCATGGTGGTGCATGCCTGTAATCCCAGTGCTCAGGAGGCTGAGGCAGGAGGACCACTGCTTGAGTTCGAGACCAGCCTAGGCTACAAAGTGAACTCGAGGCCAGCCTGAACTGCATAGGGAGACCCTGTCTCAAAAAGACAACCCCCAGAAAACTCTCAAAAAACAAAACAAACAAAAAAAACAAGCAAAGAAAAGCAAGTTTATTCCCATGAGACTTGGTAAGTATGGAATTCTATTTTCTTTTGGCATTTGAAATTTACCACATTAGTTCTTTTGGAGTTTGTTCTGCTGTAAGGCAATACTTGGAAGTGATTTTAAGTCCATATGTCACAAAAATAAGCCCAGCAGTTGATGCATGCCTCTCCTGACCTAGCCACCTTATCACACATCACTGCCTCCCGTGTGACAGTCTTCAGGCGCCTGCCGGCCGGCTGTCCCACCAGAACCCTCCACCCTACTTCTGTGCACGTGTTTAGTTGCCCTCCTGCCCTACGCTGGGAGGAAGGGGAATGTAAAGCAGCACAGATCCTGCCCCTGTCCCCCAACTTTCACTCTGACAGATAACAAACGAGAAAACAGAAAATTCCCAATGGGGTGAATTTCTATAAAACGCCAAAAAAGCTATTGCAACAAGAATAAAGGAAAGTGGCTCCTTTGGAAGGAAAGCGGGTTCAGGGAGTCCCCTCACAGCGGGGGTGGGGTGCCAAGGTGAGGGAGGAAGGCACGGCCAGGCTGCGGCAGGGCTGGGAAGACGGATGAGAGCACCACGTCTGTGGGGTGAGCAATTATCCACCATATGCCTACTACACAATGGAGACTACGTCAAAATTTTGAGATGAGTAGATAACTGTATAAAATTCTGAAGCCATTAGACTATCAGAGAAAGGCATTTTCCTATCCTGTCTGCAGAAAGAAAAAATTCCACTTGGTTAGACAGAGTAAATCTGTAGTAGGGTAGACATTTAAAATTTTACTGGTATCATCATTATAGAAGTTTTATACATATCATGTTATTTTGTGTTTAGTCTTTGATGAGCTTTGTTCTCCAGAGGCCTAAGGAGAATGAGAAAGTAAGTACGACAGACAAAAACAGCATGAAAACTCCAACTGCTACATTTCCTCACCTAACTGATATTCGTGGTGGGATACATCTTTTCAACATAAGACTTTTATCTTTTTTTAGAATGAAGCATTAAGACTACAAGGTTCATTCAAATAGTAAACAATTTCGATGACCTTATTTTTATACTATTTCTCTGCATGAAATTACTAAAACAAAGTCAACCCAGAACAATAAATCCTGTTTGGTTTTTAAAATTAGCACTGCCTTAAGTTACTTCAGGAAGAGCGATACCTTTCTAACATCATTATAATGTTAAGTGTTCTAAGAGTTTTGTTCTATTATCTCAATTTGAATCCTGCAGGATAGTTCTAAAATTTTATTTTGATCTTGCCTATTTCTCAAGATAATGCCGAAGTGCTTTATCTTTTATCTCATGTTTAAACAGCTCACTTCGGTTTCATGTACCTCTTTACCAACTGCTGATTCTAAGTTTACGTGAAAACATACACAAGAACAGCCAGAAAGACTGTGGAAGAACTAGACGAAAGGTGAACTCAGGCAGATATGCAGACACGGAAGCCTAATAATGAAACAGGTGGCAGTGGAGTATGTATAAGGAAACCAACTAACGGAACACAGACAAGAAACACACCCCCCGATGCGGGACGTGTCACTGAATAAAGACAACACGTCAAGCCAACGAGTAAAACAAGGGCTGTTTTGTAAAAGACAGATTTAGAAAATAAAGTTGGACTATTTCCCACCATGCACTAGGAGGACTTCTAAGTACAGCAAATGTTAAGACATTAAGATATTAAAGTCATTAAAGACAAATGGGAGAACGCTGATTAACCTCCAGTTATAGAGAAGGACTTTTCAAGTCTCATTGACAATCAGAAGCCAAATGAAAAGACCCAGAAATAAAGTTAAGTTCTTCATGGCATAAAATACCACAAAGTTGGGGAGCCAATGGTAGAGTGGGAAGAATATATCTGTACCTCACATGAGAGATGATAGGCTAATTTCCCTAGTACACAAAAAAGCTTATAGAAATCCGTAAGAAAAAGAGCAGCAACTCAGTAGAAAGATGTAGACCTAACAAAGCAACAGTTTATAGAAAAAAGATATAAAATGCTTTACAAATGGAAAGCTGACCAACTCAACACCAAGCAGAGAAATACAAACTGAAACTACCCTGCATGGTCTTTCTAACCAGCAGACAGGCACGAAGTCAGAGTCGGATACGAAATAACTGGGTAGACTGAGGAGAGACTTTAGATTGCTGAGTCAGGTGAATGTTACTTACTCGTATGAATGTGTTACCTGTGTACCTGTATAAAGTACTATTCATCAAAAATTAACAAATGCGTACTGATATTTTAAAACAGAAAATTGTATTTTACTTGACATCACCAAAAATAACTTTTATAAATATATTGAAACCAAATGTATGTATACAAGATGTGTTCCAAATATACAGTGAGTGTTTACAAAAATGCATTACAGTAGAAGACACATTGTCATTAATCCCCTTCAAAGCTGCGCTCACGCCTGTAATCCCAGCACTTGGGAGGCTGAGGCAGGAGGATCCTTGCAAGTTTGAGACCAGCCTGGGCTACTACGTGAGCTCAAGGCCAGCCTGAACTGCGTAGTGAGACCCTGTCTCAGAAAGACCAAAAAAGAAAGAAAGATGGGAGAAGTGTTTTCACTGTGGTGGTGGCAGGGTATTTTGGGGGGGTTAATGGCACTGTTTCTCTTACTGTAATTTATGTTGAAAACACTTTAACAATTACCCTATTATTCAATCACATCTTTGTATAAGGTGAAGTCCAATTAGATATTTTTATATTCCAACCTCAAACCTGCTCTTTCACTAAAAAACACCTATAAGAACTTTACCTTGAGGTCATGAGAAAGATAAAAAAAAAGTTCAACTTAAAAATAGAGTATGTTTCTCACCATTAAATTCAGTGTTGCTGTGGGTCATGACCAAGTTCACCTAAAATAACCCAGTACACTCATTAGTACACTTGCCCGCTTCCTGAGAGGTCAGAGGCAAGGAAAGGGACCCTGGGCCCAAGGGGCAAGAAGAGGATTATCATGGGAGTTTAATACTGGGTGCCTGGGGGAATAGAAGCATTAATAGAATTAGTAAATCAAAGAAAACACAAAGCATGCAAGGAGAGTGGATTCGACAGGCAGCTTCAGGGAGAAATAGTAAGTACGGCACACAGAACTTGGTCGGGGAGAAAAGGGACAAAAAAGACGATTAAGAAACATGAGCATCAACAGGAATACATACCAGCCATTTTCCATATTCACTGATGGCTTGCTTATCTTTATAGTTTTTCTCAGCTCTCTTCAGTTCTTCCTTTCTTTTCTCATTTATTTTCTCCTTTTCCTTTTGCTTAAAGAATGCTTCCTTTTTCTCATTCCTACGTAGAATAGTATAAAACACTGGAAAGTTAAAGGAGAATATGTAACACAGCCTCCCTGACATAGCTCTGGCCGGAAGAACGCTGAGACGCACCAGTGAACCTCAAGCTATGCTAATCTCAAATCTATCTAAGCACCTGTCATTGTGGATTACCATTTTTCAACCGCAGTTAAGTTTTCTTTCTTTTTCTCAGCCACCGTTTCCTCTTCTTTCTGCCTCTTGGCTCTTGCATATTCTTTCTCCTTCTTATTTTTCTCTTTAAGATATTCCATCTTTTTCTCTTTCCATTTTTCAAATGCCTGGAAAATTTCAGAATAATTTTCTCCTGCTTACTGTGAATATTATAAAGTACGTAAAGTGCGGTGCGTCACTCACTCTGGGTTCAGCGGAGACGCCGGAAGCCCCTGCGTACCTGCAGCGCCTCGCCCTTCCGGAGCGCATTCTCCTCCTCGGCCTTCCTCTTGTGCTCCTGCTCAAGCCTCTTTTTGGCAGCTAGTTTCTTCGCTTCCTTTTCTTTCATAGCTTTCCAGGCCTCAAATGATGCTAATGCTTCTTCTCTCTTAGCAGCTCTTTTCTATTTTGGAAAAAACAACAGGCCGATAAATACGCGTGTATAAGCAGACAGAAAAACAGATTCAGTTACAAAGATATCCATCGTTAATCCTTGAGAGTCATTCTACACAGAATTTAGGTTTTAAAGTAGATCATTTATTTAGGTTCGTTTGAATACGTTAATTTATTTAAAAACGTTATTCAAATTATTCACATTTTAAAGTGACATTTTGGAAGTGTTTATCAGACACTCGTCTATTATTCATGAGAAAAATGCAATGCTTTTCCAAGTTCTACTAAAAATGTTATCAAAATAAATTACAGTAGTCTGAGTGGCACTGTAAAATTTCAGAAAAAATTTTAAAAGTTGTAAGATTATAAAATAAGTTGGTGAACTGGTGAAGTCGCACAGTAAGGAAGAAATCTTTGGTTTGAAGCCGTGTTGATTAACATTGGTGCATAAAGTGCTTACTTCACAAGTAAATACCAAAGGTTGAAATCTATGCTGGACGGGACAGCAAGTAGGTGACTCCTCAATCTAATCTTACAATATCCAATATCTGCTACAAATATTGCTTAACAGCGGAGGGCACACTGCTGTATCAAGGAGGTCTCATCACTCAGGAGTGGGGCCCTATCACCCTGCAGCACGGTACGGGTGAACGTACAGGTGCACGGCGCGGGGCTCCATGGTGTCACACACCACGGGGGAGCCAGGCCACGGAAGCCTCCGAAGAAGCCTCCAGAGGCCTACTCCATAAAGGACTGGCGCAGGCAGTGATCTCTTTGGAACGCTTCCTTTTAAAGCTATTTTTATGCTGAAGAGCACAGGAAGCTTTTGTTTTAGAAGACACAAAGCACTGAGCAGGCTGCAGGCAGGCAGACAGGAGTGAGGAGAGGGGACGGAGAGGGCAGGGGGGCTGGCAGGAGCTCGCGCTCAGGGCAGGACGGACAGGAAGACACACCCACAACTCCAGGGGCAAAGAGGAAAACTGAAGGTGAGTGTTGAGGATCCCTTCTATTCGGGGCCAGGTTCCACCTGAAGTCGGTTTCTAGAAGTGAGTTAGGTGGTCACAAACATAACTGCTCAACCCTGTGAGTTCTACCCATGAAAACTAAAATAAAAACTTCTATATTTCTGTTTTCATGAAAAACAGTTATATTCATGCCAAATTCAAACTATATAATAAACTACTATGAAGAATTTTAAAAATCAACTCTTTTATCTAGAAGTTATTTCACCATTTTAAAAACAACTGATTTAGAAAGGTCAAATATTCAGAAATTAACTTCCTTATTTCTCCATACCTGTTCATTTTGGATCCTTAAGTTTTCACTTTCTATCCTTTTTATTCTGTTCTTTTCATGTAAGTGTACATTTTTCTTTTCTAACCACTTCTGTGAGAATAGGAAAAAGGTTACATGATATTCAAAACTGCCTAAATGAATTAGAATTTTATTTCTGAAATAGTTGATTAAAACTCTTAAAAAGAAAACATAAAATTTATAAATTTTACATAAACTAGTATCATTTTTCTTTTTCTAACAATAATTTAATAAATCTAGATATATATTACTTAAGAAAACCCTATGCGTACGATCAAATGTGTATGATCCTCTTTAGAAATAAGAATAGAAATTTCAAAGACTGAATGTCAAGGGTAAATGTACTAACGTTTCTTTCTCAAATGCATATGTGTAATTTCCTAAAATGCATTATCTTATACAACAAACAAGACAAAAAAGACATATTGAAACTATGAAAAAATTCTGTGTAAGTCCAACAAGATCCCAGGAAAGAAAATTTTCAAACACCTTTTTGTGTCACTAAATAATATAAACTTTAAGGACAAAGAGAATATCATGTATATAGATCATACAGTGTTTTAGCTTTTGCTGTATTTCTAAAAACCGTAGGGGCATGTTTTGAAACATCTGTGGTCAGTTAAAGTGTGGAAGCAAAAAGTTGAGTGAAATACCTTTGCATTGGTCATGCATTGTAAGGGAAAATCTTTCCATGTGATTAAGGGTTAAACCATCATTTCTGACAGTCACCTTATCCTTTGATAAACATGTATCCTTAGGAAGTGAGGGTTGGTCACCGTTCTCATTAAAAGCCTTTTCCTTTTTACCTGGTAAACAGCTGCCCTTATGTGATCTGCTTTGTCAGGCTCGAGGTTCTGCTTCTGTGAAGGCTTTTGGTCCAAGACTTTCAAAGTCCCTAAGTACTGGGAAGAGGTAGTTGACCCTGGAGTTCTCCTTACAGAACTGGATTTCTTCACAAACTCAGAAGTCATTAATCTGAAAAGTTCCAAATACATCAAGAGAGAGTACTTCAACTTGTTAGAATATGTAACTGTCACCATTGAGAACTACATTATAACTTCATTTAAGAAGTTATAATCACTTTGAAAGTGATGCAGGTAAAAAGTAGTCTTTCTTACTACATAAAAGTCCCACTTATTATAATTTAAACTTTATACCTTTAGAATGATTGCTAGTTTTAGGTGTTTTTAATTAGAGTGTTTTTAAGAAGTACAGACCACAGCTCACATTACACAAAGAAAGGAAGATTAATAAAGTGGGCTTTATTTACTCTTTTCATGTTTCCTTGTATCATTTTGTTACAGGAACCACTCTAAAGTTAGAAAGACCGGAACCCTCCATTTCAGAGGTTGGTGGGGAGAATCAGTCTATTCTGGTGACGTTTACCCATGTGGTAACGTATAGCCACACTGGCTATACCTGCTGCCTTCCTGCTCCAGCTGCAGAAGGGAGCAGTCGCCACAGGGACAGAACTGCCCAGGCCACTTGAAACAGGCACTGGCTGACCATTCATTCATAGGACGGCCCGGCTGGTCATGCCTACTTGATTAAAATTCGAAGGACTCAGCGGGCTTAGACTAGAACTCATGAGCTAGCAACCTTCACCTGTATAACGCAGATGAAGCCACACAGCTTTTTATCAGGTTAATAAGCCCACTTAGCCCACAAGCCTGAAGACTTTCGGGACAATTTCTCATGTGTTAGGGGTTTTAGATGAAATAGTCAACCCATCTCCTAAGAGGGAAAGGAAGAGTAAGTCGAGTAACACCAAATGCAGTTTGTTTTACAGAGTTTAAACTGAAATGAGTTTTGCTAAGAGTGCAACCCCCTAAGTGAGCGACGCTGATGACTTTATTACCGGGCAGACGCACTGGATGCTCTATTCGTTGTTGACTTTTTACTCTTCGTGATTCTGTCTTCCACTGTTTTCTAATAAACAGAAAATCCCATGGATAGGTTATGCACCATTAGTGATCACAGTTAGGCTTGGCGCCTACACTGTCAGGAAATCAGTACTTTATCCAGTACGGGTCATGCACAGTAGGCCCTGGGCACAAACCAGTGAATGACATTCCACCGAGGAGCCAAATCTCAAGCAGGGGCCGCAGGCCACAATCACAGAAACCCGAGTCATGAAAAGAAACGTGAGGGTCAGTGACGGTGACTGCAGGGGCCAGAGCAGGGCTGGGTCCACTGGGACAGCTGCCCTGGGAAGGCATCTGTGCGGGGCAAGAGGGAGCCAGGGCTGCGGAGGAGGCGCAGGGAGGCCCACACGGGGGACTGGAGAGATTTATTTTTAAAATAAACCCCACAAGCACATGGACAGAGGGACAGAGTGGACGAGCGTGTGGCCAGAGGAGCCGGTGACTGTGAGCTGGTGGTGGTGGGCCTTTGGCTGTTCTTCTTATGATGAGGAAGCAACAGCAGAGGCCTCACTCCCTGCGTTCCAAGAGCCCTAGGTGGTACTACTGGGAGGGGAGCGCAGGTGAGGCACGTCCTCAAGGTGGCAGCAGTGCTTTTCCAGGGAAGGCGGCCAAGGGCAATCCACCTGGAACAGGGCTTGTGACCTTCGGTGAGACAAAACTATCGTCTGTATTATGATAGTCCCGTTTAACTACCAGTTTTCACCTACCACTGTTCACTTTCCCTGGTAATAAATAAGAAAGTTCTTAGCTACCTACAGCTGCAAGAGATAAATACTACATTTAAGAGAAACAGAGCCCAAACATGCTATCGTATAGATTTTAAGTGTGGTACCCTGGGACAAGTAGTCCTGCACACCACAAATCTGTTCTTCAAGTTTACAATTACAGTGTTTTGAAGAACAATCCTGTCCATCTATTTACGGACACTGACAAACATTTCTTACAGATTTCCATAAAAATGTTCTCAAATTATGTTAAAATTTCACTAACTCAAAACCTCAGAAATTGGTCCAGACAGCTGTACTTTTAGCATCTGAAGACCTACAGAAACTATTGCTACAGGGACAATTTCTGAGAGATTTTAAAGTACATTTTGATCATTTTCAGGTAACAGTGGGTTTTATTTACTACAAACTTTTCTACTGAATCAAGAACTACCTCACAACGTAACACCACTATCAAAAGGTGAGATTTCCACAGGTTATGCAGAGCTATGTAATATGGAAAGTAAGATATTGTGAGGCTCTCATGGTGCAAGCCACAGTATGGAAAGTGTGAGTTTACGGAAATACCTGTGCGGGGGCCGTGGCGTCGGCAGGCCCGATGGGCCCTGGAGATCTGGGCAGCCGGGGTGCAGCTGCGAAAACCTCCTCCCGCCCCGGCCCAGCTTCCTCCTCGTCTTCTTTACGGCCGTCGGTGGCCCCCTCACTTTCCTCGGGGTTCTCAAGTTCAGGAGCGACACAGTCCATCAAAACCGCATTGTCTTCGTTTCCATTTAGTTCCCAGGAATGATGGTTTTCAGTGACTTCTTCATTCTGATCTATATTGAGAAAGAACAGCAGCACTAGAACCTTCTGAATGAGTAAACTGGAACACAGGTTTGCTTACTTTCCTGTAAAGGAAGACTGCCTGTAATCTTTGCTCTTGCAAAGTAAGATAGGATGGAAAACACCACTTTTTTTCATATGTGATCTTCGAAAGCAAAACTGGTCACTTCATGAAGCATTTGGGAAAACTAGTTATTTTAAAAAACACATTAATCATTAGAATGGAACAACTATTCCAAAAGAAAGACACACTAAAGGGCTTGTTGAGGGACAAGTCAAATAACCATGGTGGCAACATTTGTTCAGTCCTAAAACTTACCACGTTTCCCCCCAGACAGAACTGAGTCTTCTACGTTAACTTTTGCTCTAAAAGATACAGCAGGGCTTCTTCTCAGAGGATATCTCATTTTATTCATGTACAACACTGTACATTTATTCCCTTTAAGTCTACCATCAAATCAGTACTAACTAAAGACTTACGAGTTAGGAGTGGCAACAAAAACGATGAACAATTAGGAACGACGCTCTACACAAAGATGAAAGGTTGCACGCTCCAAAATTAGCAAGTGCTTCTTCACTTCATGGTAGTGCGTCAGGTACGTGTTGTAACACACGCCGTACGGAGTTACGAAGATTCGCACTGTCAAGTGCGCAGGATATCCCTGTGACATCTGTGCTCTGATTGGTCATTTGGCAATACGCCTCGAGCTCATTTGCCTACGCAGGCGTTTCTGTCTTGTCTAGAGGTGCCCACTGGTGTACTTACAAATAATGAATTATGCTGCAATTTATATTACCATTTTTATATTAATGTCAATATTTATTTGTATTTAATTATATATTATTATTTTATATTTCATTGCATTTGCTGTATGTCACAACAGACATACTAGACGTCAGTCTGGCTCATGATCTTCACAGGGGCTTATTGTGGGGTAAGGCTTATATTACGAGCACATGAGCACCCTGAAAAATCACGCCAGGGTTCATTTTCCAGTTAGGTCTGATTTGGGGAAAGAGAATACATGTCCTTAGCTGGAGAGGCTGGCTGTGAAAGGATCGGCACACATTTCCAGGCCGTGGCAGCGACCACAATAAGAAGCAAGCATCAGTACCACTGCAGAGGACAAAGCCAGCGTCGTCCGTTCCGTTCTGCGGTGCTGCCCCGCTGGCCTCCGCCCAGGACTGAGCGTATCAGCGGCCTGCGGGACCAGCGCCTGCTCCTGCAGGAGACACCTCACTTTGCTTCTGTACAGCTGCTGCTGTTAGGATCCTGCCATGCTCTGGATGCGCAGTGCAAAGAAACCAGCGCTCTCTGTGGTCTCTCATCGCTACCGGGGCCACGGCCTGGCCCAACACCGACCAGCACCACCAAGTCCTAACGCTGCTGCTTGTCCTATGGCCACTGATTTGGAACCTGTCTGGAGGTCAGTCCTTTTACAGACATCTTATTACTGCGTTACACGGTCACATCCGGACGGCATCCAGCTGCAATTCACTACTGGGCTGTTGGGAGCTGTATCAATTCACTCAGTGAAAAGAACACAGACTCTGGAGCCAAATGTTCAAACTGTGGCTTCAGCCCTGGCCTTGGGCATGTTTCTCAGTACCTCTGCATTCCGTCTTCCTCATCCGTAAAGTGACAAAGATTATACGACACAGTAAGCACTTAAGAAATGTCAGTAGTATGCCCGAATCCTAGGAGTGGCTATGCACTTCAGCTTGTGCTGTTACAGCACTAAGAAAGTAAGCATGAACCACTCACGCCTCGCATTCACTATGTGCTTAGTGTTCTAAGCGCTTTGTTTGTGTTATTTTTTTAAGGCTCACAACTGCCCTTGGGGCTGGATATTCTTATTATCTGCATTTTAAAAATCCCTACGTGGCAGAGAGGCTTGCGACTTTGCTCATGTAGCTGTACCTGGATTAAAGTCCGTCTGAACGTTACACTGCACGGTGGAGACTACTGCACCACTCGCAAGTGGGCACGACTCGCCCGAACGCTCACCCCCCAAACTTGCCCTGTGGCTACAACGGACTGCAGCACCGACATTTCACAACCTCCTTTTCATACGGGTTAATCTGACAAGTGGGGAGACGGAGGTACTGCCAGTTAAAATTCTGCACCTGAAGTCACACAGTACTGAGCAGTCAGCACTGAAACTGAAGCAAAGACAAATACACTTCCCCTGTAACCGTGCGAAGTACAGTTCCCCCACAAACGAGGGTCTGAGCAATGCAGCATTCACAAGCAAAACACAATAGTTAGATACAACCACCTTTTCTGGACATCTTCTCCTCAGATCCTGGTGGAAAGCACCTTCCAAGGCTGTCTTTAAGGGATGACGACGGGCTTTTAAATGACGGATCCTGTTTTTAAAAAATGAATTTGCCATGTAAGTTCAGTTCTCAAGATTTTTACAGCAATAGCATTATTAAAACTACAGACATGGGATCTGCACAGTCTGCCGCTGAGGCGCCAAGAGCGCTAAGCTCCTGGAGGCCGCCGAGCTGTGCTTCTGAGCCTTCACTGTAATCCTTTGGTACTCAGTGGGGCCCTGAAAGAGGTATTTTAGTTCTGTACCTGAAATCTCTATTTTAGAGCAATCTCTGCCTAGGAAACACACTTACAATGCTGGGCTCAAAGAAATACTAGCTTGTTTAGAACTAATAAAGAAGCCTGAGAGGATCCTGTGAAACCACCGAAGCCAAAGACTGAAAGACAGAGGCAAAGATTCAAGTTGACATGCATTGCCAGAGGGAAAGCTGGAAATCTGTGTGCAACCACGCTGGCTGGCTGTTAGAAGAAATGTTCAGAGGCACTTAGGGGATCTGGAATCCTCCGTCATTCATAGCGTCCTGCGTGCAAGCAAATGCCGCTGAGGAGGGAAGAGACAGAGCAGATGACTCACACGGGAGGAAACAACAACAAAAACAAGGGACAGTCAACAGGAGCCAGCCACAGACGACGCAGATGTGGCAGTTAGCAAGAAAGGCCCCGAGTCATTCCTGTAAATGTGTTCCGGTATGATAGGGCAAACACGTGCACAATGGCTAAACAGAAGGGGATCTTATCAGAGACAAAGAAAGCCAAAAAACACCAGTGGAAATTCTACAGTTGAATGCTATAGTAACTGAAGTAAAGTTTCACTGGGTGGACTTCATAGCAGATCAGAGATCAGAAAAAGTCAGGGGACTGGAAGGCAGCAATGTAAATTAGCCCACTTGAAAAACAAAGGAGAGTAAAGATTAAAGAAATGTGAATGAAACTCCAGTGATCAGTGACATATCAATGTATGGATAACTGGAACTCCAAAGAGAGGGAAGAAGACAGGGTATCAAAAAATTAAAAAGCAAAATAAAAATCCAGAGACATCCCCTATTCCTGGAAGGTATCAGCTCAGAGAAAGCTCCCTGGCCCCAAGCAGAGCAAGGACAGGGAAACTAACCTGGGCACCTTGTACTCAAGCTGCTACAACTCAAAGAAGAACAAATGTTGAAAAAAATTCTTTAAGTCGCAGAAAAAAAAATAACATTGTATACAGGAGAATAATAAAATGTGTGACTGATTTCTTGACAGAAATGAGAAGCCAGAAATAATGGAAACCTACAAAGAGTTAAGGGTTAAAAAAGGAACTACATCCAAGGAGGATATACTCAGCTAAAAATCCTTCAAAAATGAAGAACAAGAAATACTTTTTAGATAAGCAAAGACTGAGAAAGTCCGTTACTGACAAACTTACATTGTAAGATATGAAAAAAAAAGTGCATAAAACTGATGAGAAATAACAAAATCATGGTTTGGATCCATAGGAGGGAAATGAGATTCCCAGAAACTGTACATGTATATCTTTAAGAAAAATATAAAGATTTATTTTTTCGTAATTCTTTAAAATCTTAGGCAAAGTGTTAAAAAAGCTCTTTAAGAAGAATTATAATAATGTATGTATTGTTGGGATTATATCCTCAGCAGTTCTTTTTTTTTGTTTTTTTTTTCTGGTACTGGGAATTGAACTCATGACCTTGCACTTGCCAGGCAGGCGCTATGCCACTGAGCTAAATCCCCAGCCCATCCTCAGCAGTTCTAAAAGATATGACAATGATATCACAATGAGTGAAGGAGTATAGGCAACTAAACTGCTGCAATATTTCTATGCTAAATGTGAAATAAATACAAGCTTTACTCTCAGTTATGATCATTCATTGATGCAGTGTTGTAACTCACAGGACAAGTATTAAAAATATAATGCAAACAGTGAGAGCTAAAGAAAAAAATCAAGAGAGAATCAAAATGAAAACCTAAAAAACATGTGATTAATGTCCAAAAAAGGGGGCAGGAATGGAGTAACAGAGGAACAATATAACAAAGGAGATAAACAGAAAACAAACAGCAACAAAAGTCAAAGTATTTACATTGAAAGAAAATTCACTGAGGTACAATAGCTCAGGCCTATAATTTCAACTATTCAGGACTCTGAGGCAGGAGGATTACAAGGTTGAGGACTGCTATTGAGATTGTCTCAAACTAAAGAAATTTAGGGGCTGGGAATTTAGCTCAGCGGCAAAGCGTCTGCCTGACAAGTGCAAGATGCAAGGTCGTGAGTTCAATTCCTGGTACTGGAAGAAAAACAAAACAAACAAACAAACAATCAAATGAAAGAAATTTAAAAATAGTCTGGGGAAGTAGTTCAGTAGTAGAGCATCCCTATGATTGAACCAGTAGAAATCAATCAATCAGTCATAAGTGGATTAGACACTAGAATTAAAAAGGATGAATAACCAGATTTGATTATAGGGGACACTAAACTATTACTATATGGGATTCATTTAAAGAAAAAGACCTAAGTCATCTGAAAGGAAAAGGATAGAACATACACTACGCAAACACTAGCCATAAGCGAGGCAAAGTATCAAACAAAATGAACTGCAAAATAAGAAATACAACAGATGTAGAGACACTTTTCATTGCTACAAGACCATGACATAATAGTAATAATAATAATAATAAATGTATATGCGCCTAGTACAAAGTTATAAAAGACCAACAAAAATAAAATGAGCTACAGACAAATCTCCAGACCTATGTGTATGTTTGAACATCCCTACATTGGCAACTGGTGAACCAACTAGAGAAAACATCGGTAAGAACGGAGAAGATGTGTGTGCCACTACAACTGCCCTGATGACCCAAGTGAAATGGCAGAACATGACCTGCAACACCAGAAGAACAAGTGTACTTTGCCTGAGCAAATGGAGCTTTCACAGGTCACACTCAGGCTGAGCCACTGAGGATTCTCAAAAACTTGAAATCATAAATTTTTCTTGGACAATAATAAAATTAGATTATAATCAATAGTAAAAAGCATATCCAGAGAAGACTCTAATATTTGTAATTAAATTTAATTATCACAAAATAACTAACTGGTCAAAAAGAGAATATATGGGAAATTGGAAAATTAATTAAGGAAATGATAATGGATATTAAACACATCTGAAACTTTGGACTTGTTTCAGTAGTCTAGAAGGAAATATATAGTTTCCAGGGTTTTAATAGAAGGTGAAAGACTCACAGTCAAAAAGAAAATTTTCAACTTAAAGATAAGCAAACCAAATGCAAAGAAAGTAAAAAGAAATAATAAATACTGAAATCAGTGACATTGGAAACAAATAGAGGAAAAATTAGCAAAGCCAAAGCTAGATTTTTGAAAAATTTAAGAAACTAAGCAGCACCTACCAAGATTTAATAAAAAAGACAAAACACAAATTATACATATTAGAGATAAAGGATGGCATGTTATAATAATGTTATGGTCATTAAAAGGATAGAGAAATATCATGAACAGTGTTCAATAAATTTGACTTCTCAGATGGAATGACAAATTTCTTAAATATAAATTAGCAAACTGATGAAAAGAAAATCTGAGTATCAAAAATATCTATTAAAAAATGAAATCTAAGGCTAAAGACCTTTCTACTAAGGAATTCTAAGCCTGGATAATTTTACAGATGATTTTTCTCTTTTAAGGAAAATATGATGAACTTTTAATGTCATATTTACCTTTCAGATAATGAAGAAGAAAGTACACTCCTTAACTCATCTGTACAGATGCCTAATAATATTTTCAGAAAAAGAGCCTTCATAAGTATATATCCAGAAGTCAACAAAATACTACCAAATAAATCCCACAATACATTATGTCTTGCTCAAGCAGAATTTATCCTAGCAATGCTAGGTCTGGTTAATTTATGCATCAGTCATATACACAAGCCCTACCCCCAAGCTCAGAGATGCAAAGTCAGAGGTAAAGGTGCAGGAGGAAGGAACGCAACTCATCCTTTCTGCACTGGGCTGTGGCTTCTCCAGGACGGTGCTATGGTTTGGACCTTAAATGAGCCCAAGGGGCCATGTTGTAAAGGCTGCCCTGCCCATGGTCCTTGCCATTGGCCCCGGCCTAGTGGGAGGAAGCTAGGCACGCCCTTGGAGGGGGTGGTGGGACCTTGGCTCCTTCCTTTCTCTCCTTGCTTCCTGGCCACCATGAGGTGAGCAGGCCTCCTCCACCATCCTCCCATGATGTACTGTGCCGCCATCTCCCGAAGCAAAAGGGCTAAGGAAGCACGAACTGAAACCTCTGAAACCACAAGCGGAAAGAGCGCTTCCTCCTGCCAAGTTGATTATCTCGGGTATCTTGTTACAGGGACAGAGAGGTGACTGACAGACCGTAAGGCAGCAAGAGGAGGTGCGGGGTCAGGGAGGTATTTTACCAAGAGAGAGGATAGAGCACGGCTGAATGTAGATGGGACAGACTAGTGAAGACCCGAAGCTCACACATGCAGAACAGGGAACAAAAACTAGATGGGAAATTCCAGAGACAGTAGATTTAAGGAAGATTCAGAGCACAGTCCATAAAGAAGGCCTGTGTAACGAGGACTACAGAATATTCAGGTGGTTAAAATAGAAGTTTCCAGCACTGAGATGAGAGAGCTACATCCTGGGTGATGCTACAGATGCCACACAGGTGCATGTGGTCTCCAGATCCCCTACCGACACAGAAACACTTCACGACCTACTACTAAGAGACAAAGCAAGAGTACAACAAAAAATGTGAATACTGACAGGCAAACATGATGTAAGCACACAGAAAAATGCTCTCAAAGGGAATAAGCGTAGTAAACTTCCTGTTAGGTGGCCTGACTATGATTAGCTATACTTTTATTAAATCTGTCATAGTATGATGTCATTTTTTTAAAAATTGGGAATTTTTAAAAGAAAGAACCTAGAAATGCCAGAGAACAGCATTTAGCTAGGTATCCGTTCCTGTTTGAACAGTGTCCCCCCAAATTCAGGCACATCTTATTTAGAGAACAGTGTCTGTAGATATGACTTGGTAAGATGAAGACAGACCCTAAAACTGACAGCATCTTTTTTAGAGAAAGAGGCACCAAGGAAACACACAAGAAGGTCAAGAGGCGATGAAGGCTTGGATCGGAAGGATGCAGCTGGAAGCTAGGGGATGCCAAGATTTGCTGCAATCCCCTGAAGTGAAAGGGATTCTTCCCTGAAGACTTTTGAGAGAACATGGCCCTGCAGATCTAGTGCCTGACTTAGGACTTTCTGTCTTCAGAACTAAGAGAAACAATTTCTGTTGTTAGGTCTCCTCGCTTGTGGCAACTGGTGGTAGCAGATGCAGGAAACGAATAAAATATTCAATTGATCAGATAATTATATTGAATATAAAATAATTGTCTTGGTTCCTTCCTTTGGTTTTTCAGATCAGATTAAGAAATAGCATGGAGGGGTCTGCTAGATATATATCAAATTGTCAGCTGTACTTGTATGGCTGGACCACAGACCAGGATTGGAATTACCGGCTTTTTTCGCTTCCTAGCACTGCAGATCTGAATTGGAAGTTGTCATTCATGTGGTCAGAGTACAAAGGAGCCCCTTTCTGTCGTTTTGTATCACCTCCTGGGAGCACACCTCTACACACCAGTGCTGTAGGTGGCAGGTACAGAACTAAAGAAGTCTGGATAGGTGACACGTAGTTTCTGTTCCCTTAGCTACCCTAGCAAGTTATGGGGGACCGACACTCTTCTCTACTTTTCCCTCCTACAGTGTGAGAGGGGAGTTTCTTCCTATGGTGAAACACAGAGACCGGGGGGAAATGTGCCTGATGAAAACCTGGAGGGTCACACTGCACCCCACGGTGGCACACCCTAAAAACAAAGGAACACTCAGTACACATTTGTGAGTGAACTGAACCAAATGAGGAAGTGATACTAACTATATATTCCTTAGCCAGAAAATGTGTAATGCTAAAATACACAAGTAAAAATATAAGATGGTATGATTTAGCCCAGAAGCACAAAATAATTTTGACATTTTACTTCCTCTGGAAGTGGGTGAGTCTCGCAACTAACAGCTGATACGCAAGTACTTTCTTCTTTCTTTGTGGTACTGACAATGTACTGTATCTTATAACTGATGGCATTTTTTGCGCACTGGAATACAGAGGACTGAATTCAAGAACACAATTCAACAACTTGGCAACAGCACCCACCTCAAGACCAAGGTTTTCAGAGAATTCGTCTTTCTCAGCTTCCAGCTGCCTGACACCCAGCTCAGGAAGGGAGGAAGGCGCAGAATCCAAGCCATCACTGAGGGCGATTTCTTTCTCTTCTCCTAGTTCTTCCTTCTCTTCCACGTGGCTTCTCCTTTTTAACATGCTCCTTGGTCGAGGTAAAGGCTTAAAGTGTTCATCTGTTTCGAGACTGCTATTTTCTGCTACAAACAAACACACACACACTTTCAGGGGATTTTACCAAAAACAGACTCTGGCTTCCCGGGCTCTCCCAGGGGTCACCAGACTGCCATCCTCCAGCCATGACCCTTAGCCCTTGACCAGCCCAGAGGAAGCCACAACCCTCCTCTACAAGACCCAGCAAGGCACAAGCAAGGGCTGGTTCACAACCAAACTTTTAAATAATGTTGCTACCCTGAAAGCAGTCAGTATATATTGCTTTAATTTGAAGTCATCTCTCCACCTTTATGAACTCTCATAGTCTTCACAATATTTTTAAAAACATAAAACAAAAAACCAAAGCTTGCCTCTATAAGAGGAGATCCATGCAACAAACCTTAACAAGTCCCCGACACGAGGCCCTGAACACACTACCGGCCCTCAGAATTACACAGTGACAGCGGCCCTGCTCCAGGAAGGGAGATGATCCCAAACACACGAAATGCTGAGAGCGAGCTAAGTGCTGTGCAAACACGAAGACGACCATGCTGGCTCGTGGGAGGGAGACGGGACTGGCGAGCTACCACTCTTCGAGCCCGTGGGACGCGCCGGCGGTTATTAAAATCTCACCGGGAAGGCTGGGTGAGACTTGGGGCGAGCACACTGTGAGCGTGCAGGAACTCCTGGGTGCAATCCCCGGCGCCAAAAACCAAACATAAAAAAAACCAATTTTCACGGATGTTGTTCCATAAAATACATTCTGCGTTCATAGGACAGTTGTGCTATAGTGAGAATCTTGTTATTAAACTTTTTCATAAGAGACAGGCAAGAACAGAGAAAACACTGAAGGTCTAATATTTTTATAAAGCTTTACTTGCTACCTAGCAATAGCTCATTACATAAAAAATATTCAGTTCCAAACACTGAAGAAGAAGTCTAAGAATTTTGAGAAGGATGAGGCTGGCTCATAAACCACGTTTTCCTTCATGAATGAATCATTCATTTATTCGTTTAGATACTTCACAAATTCTACAGTTTCATCTTAAGACCACCAGCCTCAAGGTTTATTCTTCAACCTGAAGAATTTGGGAATAATGACTTAAGTATTTCATACCAAAATTCTCCTTCCAGAAGTATTGCTGAATTAGCAGTAAAAGTCTATATATTTTTAAAAAGCTCTGTTTTACATTGAAGTGTATGAGACTATCTATTAATTTTGTATTTCCTACACCTAATACATTAGATACCCAAGCAGAGAATTTAGAATCTTTTCTGCCACCTTGTGGTTAAAATATAATATTTTTTTCATTTTAATTCACTGTTATCTTTTTTTTTGGTACATAAGTGGATTATGATTTGGCTAATTATTTACCATAAATTTCTATTTGCATAGTTCTACCTGCTTCAGATCCATTTTTAGCTACTCTCCACTCATCATTCCTTAATAATCAGGCTCAGAGTTACTCTTCTGTCATGTGTAGTCCCATCACTACAGTAGAAGCACATGTTAGTAAGTCAATTCTGAGTCCCAGTGCTTTGGGATCGCATTTCCTAGTGTTTAATAGTTACGGAGATGCACTTCCACAGATCTCAAAACAACTTGGTAGGATAGGAAAAGCAGGTTTAATCTCTGCCTCAGGTTGACCTATTCGTCAAAATCACACATAACTGGTATATAGTAGAGGTTTTTCCGGTGCATCACACATTATTTTAGCATTCTCTGCATTAACACATCCTTCAAGCAGTTCTCCCTGATGTTTTCATTGATATCTAACATGCAAACTGTAAACGTTTTACCAGGTACTGTATTTACTGGTAATATAAAGGAAGAGGAGTTTTATGAAGGTGAGTACGAACAAATATCTTTTAGAAACCAGAAGGAAAGCAGATGGGAAACATCCAGCACTTCCCCTTGCATGCACAAGGCCCTGCGTGTCCCCAGCAGACTGCAGAGGCCTGCTCCCTGCTTCAGCCACTTCTACCTGGAATCCACAGGAACATGGAGGAGAACTCTGGTGACCTTAGATCACACCAAGGATTTACCCCGAGAAAAATGAAGGTTAGCAGATTTTCCCATGCAATCAAAGACTACTTTTTCAAAGAAGAGTCTGGAATGTCAATAAGCAATAAGAGCAACAAAAGTTTCTCTCTTCAGATACACAAAGGCAAAATACTAGCGTGGAAGTGAACTGCTGGGCGTCCGAGGGTGTACGCGTCCCTCAGGAGCAAACCCGGGGACTGCAGCATGCAAGAGAAGCTGCTGCTCAGGAACCACAACTCAAGCTCCAGAAATGACTGTTTGCATCTCTGGGGCGTGAAGGGCCTATGAAGGATTCCACTGCAGTTCCCGCTCTAGGAACAAAATTTCAGCTCACGGGCCTGGCTGTCACACATCCACACAGACTCCAGGCTGAGCCGGCAACAGGACGATGGGACTACAGGTGTTCTCTGTGGCCCTGTGTCTGCAGAGCCGAAAAGGCGTATCTTTTCCTCTTAAATACATACTAGCTACCGTGTAAATGTATTTTGGGAATAATTATTTTAAAATACATTTTCAAGAAATATTGTTATATAATCTAACCATTACCCGAAGAGGTGCTTTTGGTTGGGAGACTCCTGGGTTTTGGTTTTATTGTAATTCTCTGTTTCTCAATTTCTTGATCTTTACTTTGAGATTCCGAGAAGGAATCTGCAAGTGTATCTTCACAAACATCACGTGCCATTTTTTCGCTGTCCTTGACCACGACTTCTGGCTCCTCTCTCGTTATGTCACTGTTCCATTTTTTGGTTTTCAAAAAAGATGGCCGTGGAGAATTCTTTTCCTCATCGTCTGACAGATGAAAATCATTCACTTTTTTCTTAACTGAATTTTCATCTACTGAGGTATCAGAAAAATCACCTAAGGAAACTGAAAAGTGGACAGAAAAAAATTTTCAATAGTTTATTTTAAGCTTTTAAAATTGCATTAATTTTAAAAAAACTAGAAAGAACTAGAAATCCATTTACAAGCATGACCAGTGGTTTACTTTTCCATGTTCTCACATACCAACGTCACTCTCGAAGTCGTCTGAGTACTCTGAGCTCCTCTGCCGGGCCGAGCGGGCTATGATTGCTCTTAACAGCTCATCCTGGAATGACAGAACTAAAATCAATTCCCGTTCAGACACGGAGGTCTCATATTTAAAATTCTTTGAAAAATGCTTCATTACTAAGTGCTTGCAAACCTTCATTTATCTGACAATCTCCCGAAGCCTGCTCTGCACCATGCACCTGAGGATTAAATGCAATGCAAAACGTCACAACAAGGACCTTTCCGAGGAGCTTGCAGTTCAACTGCAGAACATGGGCAGTAGTGAGACCTTCACTGCAGGTTAGAATTAGAGGTAGGGAGTACGAAGTGAGGGGGATGCAATCTAAATGATTAGAAACTCACATCTTGGAAGAAACTGGCACTCTGAGTGTGGGTGCTGGGGACTGAACCCAGGGCTCCCTGCAAGCTAAGTAGAAATTCCACCGAGCATCTGTACAAATTCACAGCTCCACTGAGCTATGGCCTCAGGCCAGAGATAGTATTTTGTAAGTATACTACATTATTTCACCAATAATGGAAAATTAGAGGCTGGGTTCAAAAGTAGTATACCAACAGAAAAAAAACTTAAAAGTTAGTTATAGTAGGACATGGTTTTTATATGACGACGGTAATTTCAAATTGCTTTTATGTGTGTGGGTGTGTATGCGGTACTGGGTACTGAACCCAGGGTCTACCTGCTGAGCTACATCCCTCTCTCTCAGCCTTTGTCCCTTTCTTTTTCTTTCTTTTTCTCTTCTTCTTTCTTTCTTTCTTTCTTTCTTTCTTTCTTTCTTTCTTTCTTTCTTTCTTTCTTTCTTTCCTTCCTTCTTTCTTTCTTTCTTTCTCTTTCTTTCTTTCTTTCTTTCTTTCTTTCTTTCTTTCTTTCTTTCTTTCTTTCTGTCTTTCTTTCTTTCTCTTTCTTTCCTTTCTTTTTCTCTTTTCTTTTTCCCTTCCTTCCTTCCTTCTTTCCTTCCTTTCCTTCTTCCTTTCTTCCTTTCTCCCTCCCCTCAATCGACTCTCTTTTTTCCTGAGACAGGATCTTGTCAAGTTGTGAAATAGCCCAGAGTGGACTCATATGATTCTCCTGCTTCAGCTTCCCAGACTGCCAGGATTACAGGCAGGTGCCACCAGGCTCAGGTTTAAGTTGCTCTTTAACTTTTAATTTAGTAAGAACTTTGTATTGAGGCTAATTTGAAAGCCTTAAAGCCATAAAGAAGGATTTGTAATACTGGAGCCCAAACATGATGTGTCATTTGCAAAGCCTCAAAAGGAATATAAGATTACTCTAGCTTAACATAGGACTCTTTATAGAATCACTAAGTTCTGGGTTCCTAGTTGTTACAGCTTGTGTCTAGATGTCTCCACAAAGCCTCATGCAGTCATAGGTGGGGCTTTTTTCAGAGGTGGCTAGACTAGAGTGCGAGATGCTGGGACTGATTCACAGTGCAATGCAGGTTAAAGGGCACTAAAAGGTTAAAGGGCACTAAAATTAAGGGTGTGAGGGTTACCCGCCCTTAACAGCCTAAATAAAGGAGCTGTGGTTGTCCCTTCTTGCTTTACTACCTTCTGCTGGCCATAAACTGTTTCTCCTTTGTGACGCCACCCTTCCTAAGAGCCAGCTGATTATACAGACTAAAATCTCTATAAACTGTGAGCTAAATAAACCTTTCCCCCTTTAACTTTGGGTGTTACATATTTTGTCTCAACAACAACAGAAAAGTAACTAAGACAGAAATTTGGTGCCAGAAGTGGGGTCACTGCTGCAGCAGACATTACCTGGCCATGTGGCTCAAGAGCCTTTATTTAGAACTGGCCTGTGGGAAAGGGAAGAGTTAGGAAAGGTTCAGAGATGTAGCCTGAAAGAGTACAGCTGGAATACCTGGGGCTGTTTTGTATGAGAGATTCTGGTCAGAGCTCAAAGACCAGAAGGCTGATAGAAATCCTGCCAGTAAAGACCTGGCTCGGGAGGTTTCTGCTGGGAAAAAGTACTGCATTGGTTGTTGGACTCCAGATGACGTATGTTATCACTTGGCAGAAAGTTTGTCTGCATTTTGCTTCTCTCTACAGATTTTGCCCGAAACTGAGATTAAAGGCAGTGGACTAATCTGGTAGAAGAAATTTCAAGGCAGCTGAATGCCGAGGTGCTGGCTTGGCTACTGTTGGGAGGTTTTAGACAGGTTTATGTTGAGAATCAAGAGAAAAGAGCCCAGCAGAATAATTTAAAATGTTTTGTGTTTGGCCAGAAAGGAAGCTCCAGTAACGCTATGGACTGCAAAGATAGAAGAGAGGAGATCTTAATTGCTGAGAAGGAACAAGAGAATACAAAAATGTCCTGAGGGCATCACAAGAAGCAACAGGACTCCACCTTTTGCAGGTTCAAAATTGCAAAAGTAGAAGACTTTCCTTTACAAGGAAAGCCCCAGAGCACCACATTCCAGAATGGTGACAGCCTAACCTAAAAAAGTTATTCCTCGAATATATCAATATGTGATACAACAAGCATTTTTAATTTCCAAAAAAAAAAAAAATTTAGTTCATAGGCACTAGACCCCTACAGCCAAAAAACCCAAAACACAACACAAAGATCCTGGCTACTGCTCCAGGTGGCAACAGACTGGCATCCTTCATGTGGTGCTGGTTTTAGGCGCATACAGAACGTAAGAGTTCTATGGCAGAAAGGCCTCCACCCAAATTTCAAAAAAAGGCCTGGGAGGCCAGGTGGTGTCTCCTCGAGAGGACAATGTGTAAAGTTGTGAGTATACAGTCAAAGGTACAGGAGAGACCCCCAAAACTTTAAAACAGCCAGAAATGTAAATTATCTGGAAAAAAACTGCAGCGAGAAAAAGCCGGCCCCAGAGAAAAGTCACGAGAATTACAACCACCAAAAGTGCTACAGGGGCTGAGGCCCCAAGCCCTTTTTAGAGTTCACGTCTTGGCAGATTCCCTGAGATGCTAGACACAAAACTGTAAGACTTAATGTTTGCCCTTCTAAATTTCAGACCTGCTTTCATTCCATTCCTTTTTACTCCCCTATTTATTTCTTTTAAAATAAAAATGTAAAAAATAAATAAATAAAAATGTCCACCTTGTACCATTAAATGTTAAAAGTGTTTAACTTTCTTTTCATTTATACAGGGGCCTTAAATCTCAGAAGAGACTTTGAACTTAGACTTTTCAACAATGCTAAAACTGTTAAAGACTTAGGCAACTCTTAGACTGAATGCCTCTTACATATAGAAAGGTGCATGAGTCTTTGGGGAGCCAAGGGCAGAAGGCTATAGTTTGGGTCTAATTATCCCCCCCAAAACTTTATGCAGTCATAGATGGGGCTTTTTCAGAGGTGCCTGGATCTAGAGTGTATAACCCTAAAACTGACTCATGATACAATACTAGGCTCAAGGGCACTGGGATTAAGGGTGTGAGTGCTACCCACCCTAAACAGTTTAGATATATTCTAAGAGATAGAAAGAGATGCGGTTGTCCCTTATTGCTTTACTACCTTCTGCCCACCATAAACTATTTCTCCTCTTCAATGCCACCCTGCTTAAGGACCCACCAATTATAGACTAAAACCTCTACAAACTGTAAGCTAAATAAACCTTTCCCCCTTTAATTTTGGGTGCCAGACATTGTCTCAACAACAAGAAAAAATTACTAAGACACTAATACACAATTTATACTGTACAATCATTCAAAACAAAAATGCTTTATAGTATTTTACCTGGAAAGTAGTTCTTTTGGTAACTTTTGGACTCTTCGTATAAGCCAAAGTTGTGCTGAAAATTTCGTCAGCCATAGTGTATTTTTTCTTCTCCCTCAATTAGTTAATAAATGGTTGGACTAATTCATTCAACCTGCAATGGTGGCTGAAACAGATGAAAAACATAGCATCAGACTTCTTTTGCATGCTTGAAAATTTCTATTAAGCACACTTAATGCCAAAAGGAAAAAAAGGGGAAACAAAATAAAAGGGTCTCATGAACACTGAGCTGTATCTTCCTCTAAAAATGTAAATACAGTTCTTGTAAAGAAATAGACATAAAAAATGCAAATGGACGTTATCCTAAAATAGTTTTGCCACTATTTTAAGGATGAGCAAATAAATGAATGCAATACACTAATGAGACAAAATGCTGCCAATGAATACAGAACGCCGTATTTTTCATGTCTTCTCCCCCAAAGTATAACGGAGCTTACAGCACGGCCGCTCTGCACTCCAAAGGCCACCGAGGCGGCCGCGGGGCACAGCCTTGAGCCGCACACCCCCACCGCACAGGGCTCCGTCTCGGGGAGCGGTGCGCTGCGCCCCGCGGAGCCGGCGCTGTTCCCTCGCGCCCCCTCCGCTCACGAGCCGCTAGCCAGGCCGGGTGCCGGAGCTTCCAGAGGGGCTGTGCCGAGCTCGCCTTCCCGCTGCGGGAAGCTGGGCCGACCCGGCGGCGGCGTCCTGTTTGCGCGGCTCCTGGCTCTGCGCCCACCCGGCCTCCGCAGCCGCGGGCGCCAGGACCCCGAGGCCGCGCGGGGTCTCAGGCCCGGTCGGCCGCACTCCGGATCCCGCACTCAGCCCGGCTGGGGGGGCGGGACCAAAGGCGGAGGTGGACGGCGGTTGCTAGGCAACAGCGTCCCGGGAGGAAGTCACTTCCGCGCCGTCCTGTCTCTCGGGTACCCGAAGCTGCCCTCGGGCGAACGCGTCGCCACGGCAACCACCAGCCTGAGGAAGTGACGTCACCCGCAGGGCGCTTTACGCTTCTGGTGTTGCCTGGGCGACAAGGCCCGCCCTTGCCTCCAGCGCCCGGAGGCCCGTAGAGCCCAGTCGGCCCTGGATGCTCAGGAGGTCTTTGCTTGCACCGAGCGGACGGTGCTCGAGAGCCGGGGAGTGTCCTTGGGAGGGGCGGAGCGCGGTGCAGGCCGCCTGCCCGCGCGGCTTTGAATCCCGGCGCCCTTCCTGAGCCCGGGGAAGCTGCGGACCCCCGGGGAGCGCTTCCCTCTCCTGAAAGAGAGGAGACCCCGGGACGGCGAAAACCCCGCAGGGGAATGCTGGGAGCGCCCCGTCCACTCCGTGGGCACCTCGGGGCGGCGGCGCGCTGCGGGGTGCAGTGTCCCGGATGTGTGCTGGGGCGCACCTGCCAGTCAGCCAACCAGTCAGTCAGCCAGTCAGTCAGTCAACCAGTCAGCCAGCCAGTCTGTCAGCCAGTCAGTCAGTCAGCCAGTCAGTCAGCCTGTCAGCCAG